GCGAGTCGCAGCGAGGACGGTGCGGAGCGGCGTTGCCACGTTTATTTTTGTATGTCGCACGGATTTCAGCAAGACAAGACTTACTCTATTTGTATTCCTTTTATGTAGTACTTCGGACAAAACTGATCGTGTAATTAGGATCAAATTTCCTACAGGTAAGTCATTTGATCTGTTAATTATTTGAGAAAATCTAGGTTGCGGTGATATGTCTGACGTTACTTCAACATAGCTGTGAAATTAGTTCAATTTGAACAACTAAAATAGTTATCATTTTGTGTCAATTAAAATAAAAATGAAAATCTCAGAAATATGCTAAAAATGGAAACTTATCCTACATCAGAGAGAACTGATATGATTATATTAGTTGATGACTGCCAGTGTGCATTCACCAATTAATAGAATACTTATAAATGTTCCTAATTTATCTAGTCTTGAAATATAGAATAATGTGAGTAATTTAATATAGTAAAGTGCATTTTTGATAAAATTATACGTCAAATACAGGGTGGTCCGAATTGTATTCGGAAAACTTCGGCACCGTATTTTACAGATAAAAAACTTGGTATAAATGCATGTCTTAAAATACTTCAAACTTCGGTAGCATATTCTACCAAAAAAAAAAATAAGTAAAAAAGTTATTCGTACAAATATACATCATTCGTATACAGAGTGGTCCGAACTGTGTTCCGGAAACTTCGGCAGCATATTCTGCAGATAAATAGAAGTAAAAAGGTGAGTATAAATATATATGTCCAAAAATGTTTCTTTTCGGAGACACAGGGTGTAGAAGTTTCATTTTTATGTCGATTTTTTCCTAATAATTCTTGAACTAATGTCGATATTTGAATGAAAATTGGTTTCTGGGTGTTGTTTGACATGCGAAATTTGATTTCGATATCAATATGACTCTTACTTGTAGGGGGCACCACCTACACATATTTTGACTGGTTTTGAACATCAATAACTTTTCGTCTGCACCTGGTATAAAACTACTGAGCGAACAATAAATATACTATATATTATAAATTTCCACCGTTTTTTACCTAAAAAAGTTTCTTTATTATTTTTTAAGTAAAAATTGCTACGACTAGCCGTTGACAAGATATTTGGAATGTGAATTATCAATACATGTCATTATTGACCTAAATAATCATGTTGATTAGATAATTATTAATTTGACTGAAATGATTAATCTGTAAGATTTTTAATTTATGAAATTATTTTGTAAAAAAAGTACAAAGAAACAGTTTCTGTGTAATCTTTGGCTCAAAACCATCTCAAATTTTTATGATTTTAGTCTAATATCTATCTAGTCAACATGCATGTTCAATTTTTGTCGATGATGACGATGTATTGGTTATTTCGATTCCAAATGTCTCAGAAGCATTCCTCGTAGCGATTTTTACCAAGCGACCATTTTTGCGTAAAGATGGTGAAATTGTGTATTTTTTTTCATTCAGAAGTGTTATACAAGTACGGACGAAAAGTTATTACTTCTTAAACCAGTTAAAAAATATGTAAGTGACGCCCTCTACAAGTAGGATTCCTCTTGATATCGGAATCAAATTTCTCATGTTAAAAAACTCCTAGACACCAATTTTCATCCAAATATCGACCTTAGTTTAGAAATTATTTGGAAAAAATCGCAATAAAAATGAAACTTCTGCACCCTGTATCTCCGAAACGAAGTATTTTGGGACACAAATTCATACGAACTTTTTTACTTATTTTTATATGCAGAATATGCTGCCGAAGTTTACCGAATGTAATTCGCACCATCTCCATTTATTGACGTGTCTTCTAATCTATGACGCAACCAGTAAAACGTTTCAATACTGACGATTCTCCTGCAGCTGACGTTATTACACACATATACAATAATATAACCCGATTTTGCTTTATTTACATTGTTTTTTTGATAGAAATCATATCAAAAGCTTATTACCGTAGTATTTTTGTACTGGTGTAACTTTGTATTTTCGTGATATTAATAACAGACTTATGTTATTTCGATATCTGCTAAAATATTGATTATATGTAGATATAATTAAAAGTTACCTGCATATCCAGGAACATTATCGCTATCTGATTCGACATTGTCAATTAAATCGTAATGATAACTCGACGAACTAGACATATATGATAAGATTATGTGATAATATTAAGCTTAAATCTTTTAGAATCTAATTCCTTCTACGAATCAGCAGGAAAACAATTTAGGTTATGTTTTGTGTTTTCGTGTTTTGTGACTAACAGTTCTTTCGGAGAATATAGATTTAAGCTGTCACGCCAAGCCACGCAATAGATTTATTTTTATTTTGAACGTCTATTAAAACAGTAGGATGGATTACATCATTTAGATATCCTCAAATTACATTATTTAATTGTTTTATTGTTAGTAACAAATTAGTCGTTCAATTCATTTTTCGGAAAAAAAAACCTTTATATCAAGGTTTCCTTTTTAGAATATTAGTTTTTTATGCAATGCAATGGTAGCGTAGATATTTAAAATATTTTTTAATGTATCCTGCTTTATTCAGGGTGTACAGACAGGGTGTCCCAAATTTGAGCCTTATTATTGGAATCTCGTAAACTAGAAGTTGCGCAATTTGATGCTGATCAAAAAATGCCACCTTAAAAAATTAAAAATTCCGAATACTTCTAAAGATTTTTGGAAAACCGGAATGTTTTATTTTTTATGACCCTATTTTAATAGATATACCGGGTGTTTTTTAAAGTGACTCACCCCTACACCTTTGTTTATTTTTCAGATAAAAAGCGAGATTTGGTTTGTTAGTAACTTTATGATATAAATCAGGATTGACTGACGTATTCATTTAGTTTCCGACACTCTCTGTTTCAATCGGAAAGTGACTACAAAGGTTAGGGGACTTCAAGATTTGAGAGTAAACAGTTTTTTGTGGGAGAATTTTGGGTAGTTCTGATTTATTGTGTTATCATTTTAATAATACAAAAAAAAAAAAAAAAAAAAAAAAAAAAAAAAAAATCAAAAGTTGTAGTCATATCCGGTGAACAGGAAGCGATAAAAAACTGAATACATGAAATAATCTGATATATGAATACAGGGTGTGGGTGAGACTTAAATAAGATCCAATATTTTCAGGGCTGGGTAGATCTCGATAAAACAGAAACAAATTTTCTGTTTATATTTTCAAAAATAACTCCAAAATAACTTCAGATATTTTACTGAGATGGTTAGCATTATTTGAGGAATCCACTGGTTTTTTTTTCGGGGTGTTTCCTTCTTGTAAAGTTTAATGTACTGCCCTACGATATTGCCAGATATCAGAAATCCACAGTTTTTTAACTAAACTAAAAAAAAAATTCAAAAAACAATTTAAAAAATTCACAAAAAATATTTTATTTTGTTTTTGCGAAAAAAATCTCATAATTGGTTTCCGTTCGAAATATACTTATCACCAGAAATATTTGACGTTATTTAAGGACTCACCCCTGTCTGTGTATCCTACCAAATCAATATTTTTTTATAGGAAAATAAAAGAAAAGGTGAGCCATTTTTTGAAAAACAACGGTATTGTTACTAACAATTTAGTGGTTTCAATTTATTTACATTAAAAAAAAGAAAAAACGTTAAACAAGTTCTTCTTTTTTGAATATTATTTTTTTTAATATAACATGCGAGAAATGGGAAATGGCAGTGGAGTAAATGAGTATTATTTAAAATATTTTTTTATACAGGGTTCGGCAATAGTGCGTTGGGTATTTGTAGCTCCTAGAACAAAAAGCTTGGGAATTTCATTTAAGTGCTGACCTAAACTATGGATGCATTTCAGGAAAATATTTTTTTTTTTTAAAATTTTGAAATACAAAAAGTGTGGCAAAGGACTTTTATAAAACAACGCTCGTTGTATACTGCAGTTTGTCAGTTCTTCTTACATTATTATAATATCGTATAATCGAAAAAAAAAAAAGTTTCCAAAATTTCAAAATTGTGTAAATAGGGGAGAGGGGGGCAAGAGTGAATAGGTGGGCAAGAGTAAACGGCTCAATAATATTTTTAATTATTAGAAAGTTTTCGGCCGCCAATGGTTATTGTAATGCGAACCGCGTGCCGTGGACATGTTTGTTTAACTATGACCACACATGACCAATTTTGAAAAAAATAAGCAAAAAAAAGGTGAAGTTTTTGTTTTAATGAACAGTCGATGTAGGATTATTGTTAGTTATACCTTTTTCATTCTTTCTGGTAGTATTTTTGTTTTTTTTTGTATTCTATAACCGATCTGTAGAACCTAACCTATAAATTCATATTAGCTTGTAAGACCACCAGTGCCGTGTGGTTACAAAAAAACGTTGTTATTTAATTATCCGTTATGTGAGGCCCCAATGTATATCTAATTAATTTTTTTGTCAGGTATCGGTGCAATTCGTTTCGGAAAAGATGAAGCAGGGCTTCCTATTCCGAGGAAGATATGAGCAAAGCAATAGACGAATTTCAGTCAAAAACTCTTGGTTTGCGAAAAGCTGCTGAAAATATGGCATTGCGGTAGCGACTCTTCAGAGCGAAGCTTTAAGAAAAATTAGTTTGTCGTGGTTAATATTAGTAGATATAAAGCCCTAATTTAATACCTGAACAGGAAGAAGATAAAAGCCCATGTATTGTCTCTAGAAAAATTGTTTTATGGAATTTCCCCTACAGAGCTGCGACGTCTAGCATTTGAATTTGCCGAAGCGAATCATATCGATCATACAGTTTAATAATGAATAGCGGAATTGCTGAAAACAGTGTGCACAAAAACTTCATGTCAGAGAACTTGGGGGTGTTTGTCCAAGAATTCGAACCGAAGCAAAAGCACGATTTGTTTCGACTTACTCGAGAGGGGTTCAACTTAAAATAACAGTTCACAATGAGAGGTTATTGTATTTTTAATCTTGATGAGACTGGGTTAACTGTGGTTTACAGAACCCAAAAAAATAATAATAACCAAAAGAAAAAAAAGCAAGTGTGGGAGAGCTAAATGTCTGCTGAACGTGGAAAGACGGACACGGTTGTGGCCTGTGTAAACGCTTTTGGATCTTTTATACCTCCAGTATTGATTTACAAACGTGCAAGACTGAATCCCCATTTATTAACCGGGGCTATTCCAGGAACCATAGGAATTCCTAGCCCCACCGGTTGGATAGATACGGATATCTACTTTAAGGTGGTCGAGCATTTTATTAAATCAGTTCGAGCTAGTAAGGATAACCCAACGCTACTTATCGTTGATGGACACAGCACCCATAAATCTTTAAAGGCAGTAAATTTGTGTCGAGAGCATGGCATTGTTGTAATAACGTTACCACCACATTGCACTAATCGCCTTCAGCCCGTTGATCTCACGGTGTTTGGGCCTTTATAAATCTTATTTAAATTCGGAAATGGATATTTGGATGACCAACCATCCAGGAGAACGAATCACAGAATATTACATGGGTCCTTTAATAGACCATCATGCAATCATGAGACAGTACTCTAATAATATTTGCAAGCGGCTTCAAAACGTCAGGTATCTTTCCATACAATCCAAATGTTTTTTTCCGATGACGACTACGTCGCAGCAGATGCAGTTGACGCTGGTGTGAAGGAAGTATTAGGTGATAAAAATATGAATAACGAAGAAGCAAAAGAAAAGAAAAAGCGTAGACAGTTGAACATAGAAGGAGATTATGAAAAGAAGATTGAAAGTCCTAATGTGTCTGTGTCAGAATTGCTACCACTTCCAAAATCTAAACAAGAGCTTCTAAAAAAACGACCAACCGAGTTCAGCAAAAGTCAGAATTTATAACATCACCGTAAAAAGAGTCCTAGAAGAAAAAGAAATAAATGTAGATTCAAAAAGTAACTGAGGGTAAGGAACAAGTGGTACGAAGGAGCCAGGCTGTATCGGGAAAAAAAACAAAGAAGAAAGGTTGCCAAAGAACAAAAATAAATAAAATTTTTTTTTTATTAATTGGTGAATGCATTTATTGCGGAGGTAAATTCAGCGACTCTGGCGAAGATTGGATAAGATGTGCTACATGTGGCTTATGGTCACACGAGGACTGCACAGGACGTTGAGAACTATTTTGAATAATTTTCTTTTACTGTGGCTTTATGTCGTTTTCTTAGGATTTTTTTATCGTCTACTCTTGCCCCATACCAGTGGGGCAAGAGTACAATGTTTTAAAATGGTTATGTATTTTTGTTATTTCATGTTATTCCGTGACTCTTTTTTTATTACATATTTTTGTCTAGTGTTATACCCAAAGATTGTTCTACAATATGCAAGTTTATTTTAACGTCTTGTATTAAACAATCAAAGCTTAAGTGTTTGCTTGCCCCCCTCCCACTTATTATAAATTCTTCTGTTTTTTTTTAAATCGCCTGTATATATTTTTCTGTTAGATGCAGAATTAAAAGTGAATATTTTTTTGTATTTAAAATGTTTTTTTTTTTTTTATATGTAGGTATATGTCGCAGGCGTATAGAATTATCCGGCTTTCTGCAAAAAGACTAGACATATTATAAAACGCCGGCATTTTGAACAAAAAGAAGAATTTTTAAAAGTGGCTATGTATTTTCAATCGCTTTCCAAAAGGACTTTCTTTCCTTTGTTTAAAATGCCGGCATTTAATAATAGGCCTAGTCTTTTTTATATTCTCATCAATAAACGCTTTAGAAACTGTATAAAAAGTGTCACAACCTACCCAGGATCTGACGCGGAATCCGATCATGTCCCGTTGGTGGCGAACCTCAAGTTAAAGTTAAAGGTTACTAAAAGTAATCCAAAAGACAACCTGTTAGATATGTCAAAATATAGAGATCCACGAGTAAGTAGAGGCACCGTTGCGACAAGAACTCAACAGCGAATTGGCCAAAGTGGCACACAAAAATTGCCCACAAGTGCAACCCCTTTGGGAGGAGCTAAAGTGTATTCTTACCGGGGTATGTTCCAAAAACTTACAACCAGCCAAAAGACTCAAGAAGAGCAGGTGGATGACTGGTGACATATTGAACCTGATGGAGAGACGAAGATTGGTTAAGAATAACAAGGAGGAATATAGCCAAATGAACAGGACCATAAAAGCAGAAATTAAGAAGGCAAAAGAACGCTGGATGAGGGATAAATGCAGAGAAATGGAAGATCTTGAAAGCAGAACCACAATTTTATAAAACTATAAAAAAAAATTAAAGAGATAGCTGGAATCAACAGGAAACAACATTCCTTGTCACTTTTAGATGGATTAGATCAGCCTATCATTAAGGAAGATGAAGTAAAAGCCACCTGGGAGCAATATATATATGATCTTTTCAGGGACGAGAGACCACCCCTGCCCGACGCCCAGGATATTGTTGACGGACCAGAAATACTCCAGGCGGAGGTGATCCATGCTATTTCAACGGCGCAGACCAGAAGGGCTCCTGGTCCCGACGGAATTCCAATAGAGGTCTTAAAGCTTATTGAGGGGAACAAAATAGGACTAATCACAAACTTATTTAACACAATTTAAACACCCGGAGGAGTACCTTAATACCAAAAGACCTGGCTAAAACCTCAACATTTTGTGACAAATCACCTAAAAAAAATCTCGTCCTAAAAAATGCGGCGGCTATCGACTAATTAGCCTCATGAGCCACCTACTGAAGACCTTTCTACGTATTATTCATGCCAGGATACGACGGAAGTGCGAATTCGACATGGACGACGCCCAGATGGGATTCAGAAATGCGTTTGGAACACGAGAGGCCCTTTTTGGAGCCAATGTCCTACTTCAAAAATGTCGCGACCAACGGAAAGATGTCTTCGCATGCTTTATTGATTATGAAAAAGCTTTCGACAGGGTGCGCCACTCAAAGGTAATGGAAATACTGCGACAAATCCAACTAGACAGCAAAGATATCAGATTGATTGAAAACCTTTATTGGGGTCAAACAGCTGAGGTTCGTACTGGATCAATAAAAACTTCTTGAGTGGCGTGGCGGTAGAATCAGCAGAGAGGGAGGGATAGTTCGCCAGGTTGTCGTACCTCCTTTCAAGCGCGCGCCGCTCTTATTGACAACCTAGCGTAAATTGTGCCGTGTAGCTGTATAAAAATCTGATTTAAAGAAAAAACAGGGCCTTGAGGGGCAAACCGAACGATATTGGGAGATAAAAGTTAACGGTGTGTCTCATTGAATCATATTAGTCGCAAGCGATAGGTTATTTAGCCAGACTGAACATCTGCTGACTTATCGAACGACTGAGTAAGGTAAATGGGAGGGCTCGCCCAAGAACAATCTGGATTGATCAATAATAAGCTCAATGAGGAGTAGATCTGGGGACTACAATACAACCCAGCAATGACGAAATTTATGGTGTTAGCAGAAACAATAATCACAACTCAGCCTCAACGGTTCCGCGATTGAACGAATAAATCAGTTTAAGTATCTGGGCAGCATAATCACGGAGAGCCTGGAACCCGACATTGAAATCAAATCCCGTATTGAAATAGCAAGAACAACGTTTAAAAGGATGAGATCCCTATTCTGCAACAAAGGTGAATCTTAATCTCAAACTGCGACAACGTATGGTCAGGTGTTACGTTTGGTCTGTCCTTCTCTATGGAGTTGAGAGCTGGGCTTTGAAAGCTGTCATGCTTATTAGACTGGAGGCATTGGAGATGTGGATTCATCGAAGAATGCTGCGAGTCTCCTGGACCGATATGCTGACCAACGAAGAAGTCCTTCGGCGAGCAAGAACAGAACGACAGCTGCTAACAACGATAAAATGTAGCAAGATTTCCTACCTAGAACATGTGTTGCGGGGAGAAAAGTATCATCTCTTACAACTTATTCTAAAAGGAAAAATAGAGGGCAAACGAGGAGTCGGCAGAAGGCAGATGTCATGGCTGAGAAATAATCAGACAGTGGAGGGAGTGTCGGGCTAAATCAGGTAGTGAGATCACTTCATCTGTCAGCAAGAGGACAGATATGGAAGAGTGAGATAGTGTGCGCACCTCCTGCAGGTGATCGCCAACGTTCGGAGAACCGGGCAGGGCACATAAAGAAGAAGTCTTTTTGCAAAATGCCGAATTATTGGATACGCCTGCGACAAATAGGTATTTTTTACGGTGTTCCAATGTAGCTATTTGGAATTGTGGTATTATTATCTGTTCTTTTCAATCGGTTTTGTTTATAACCGGAGGCTAGACACGGGCGGTGTGTATTGGCGTATTTTACAGGGTGGTTTCTTTTTTTTTTTGTTTATGTTTTGTTCGTTTTTTTTTTTTTGTTTTTTGTTTTTTCTTTGTTATTAAAGTAATAGATTCAATCGTTGATTTTCCAATACTCAACTGTATTGACCTGTAATTACTCAAATCTAAGTTTGAGTTTACCAAATCTAACCGGTGCTGGAGTGTTTGGACTTTATAAGTCAGTCAACCGGTTGATTTTATAAACTCAACCGGTTGAGTTTTTTTCAAGAATTTTTTTTTAAATTATTTCCATAGATTATTTCTATTCCACTCTCACATGTGTAGCGCTTCCGTGCACATGTATTAAAGTGCGTCTGCTGGAATCTGGATGCTGTCTAATGTATAGGAATCGCGGACAACATTTAATAAGACAGCAATTGATTTTACATAGAAGCGTCGAGCTGGTGACGCGAGGTACGGTCTGCATCGCTCCGCCCACCTCATTTTATTGCTACTTGCAAATTGTCGATCTCTCACACTCGCAGCGCGCCCGCCTCTATTTTTTTTAACGAAGAAACAATTAGCGAGAAGAAATATCGTATTTCCCCTCGCCTCACGGATACCCGCGTACGCTACCAGAACGGAAGCAGACGCACTATACAACGCGCTCTCGCTCTCGTGAAGTCCTGATAACGCCTTTTTGTGTAAAAGTTTGTAGTGTATAGTGTAGTGTAACAGCGTGAATGGGAAAGTGAACATGGAGCAAAAAAATACCACAGTTTGAAATAGCACGAACCAAATTAAAATACTGAGAACTTGTTAAAATTTCGGGCTAACAAAATATTGCTAAATGAACTGTTGTTCCTTCTAGAGTCAGGAGTGGACAAAAACTTCCAAGCTAAAAAGGGTTAGTAGTTTAATACACATCGACCAGGTTTGAAAGAAACCGAAAGTACTGCGTACGTTTTTCCCTCGAATTTAAATATCGGGAAAAATTAATGACCTCCCAATAAGCA